TGTTATGTTATCATTTGAGAATATGTTCAAAGTATGGGTTGTGTGTTATAAATATTACGACTTCAAGTCAAGTTTGAATGAAGGTTATCATGCCAAATTATGTGAAAAATCTCTATATGTCTAAGACTCTTAATTGCTCACGTGTGTGCCTAAAGTCGTGAATTGAAATGTCTTGTTGTTGATAATGATGATGATGTGTGAAAGTGAAAAGGGGAGCATGAAATATGAAATACGGCCAAGTACCAAGAATGATGTTATAATTGTATCCACTAGTGCCAATGAATTGAAAAGACGTGAAAGAAGTATGAAGTGAGATGATTGATAGAAAAGGATGATGTCTCGGGTGAGATGGCCTAGCCGACCAGGTCATGATCGGACGCCATGCCGCACACATGGTGGTGATTGTGCTGGAAATTGTAATTGAAATTGTGATTGTGGTTGATGTCTCGGGTGAGATGGCCTAGCCGATCGGGTCGTGATCGGACTCTGTGTAAAAGTACGATGGTATTGTGAATGATGGTATATCGGTACTAAAGATCTCCCAACCCAAATATGGAAATTTACTTGAAAACTTATTTGGTTCTAAACTTGATGTGTTGGTATTGTTTGAGGTTTCCACTGATTTTATGATTGTCCCTCCTTGTAGTATTATTCATTCGACTGAGAGGGTGTTTAGTTATACATACTAGTGCGATTCAACGGTACTAACGTCCCTTTTGCCAGGGAGCTGCATCTTTAATGGATACAGGTGGTCCATAGCAGACGGCGTTGAAAAGCGATAGTGGTACACCCTTCTCCCAGAAGACTTGGTGAGCCCCACTCCAGCTATTGGTGTCATTCGGAGTTGGTTTGATAGGATTCAGACGCTAGGTTGTGATTTTAGAGGTTCTTGAGTTTTCTTTGGATTTTGAGGTCCAATTCGTGGTTCTTGATGTTATTTTGGTGTTTTGATCGTGCGCGAGTTCGTATGATGTTTTTAAACTTGTGTGGATGTTTGGTTGAAGCCCGGGGGCTCGGGTGATTTTCGAATTGGTTTTCTTAGAATTTTGTGTGTTGGTGTTGGTTCCATCGCATATACGATGAGAAGGGTGCAAATGCGACCACCGCATTTGCGAGCTCTTATCGCTTTACGAACTTGGGGAAGTTGGGCATTTATCGTAAAAGCGATATTGGAGTCGCATTTGCGACTCTGGGGCTATCCGCTTCTGCGATGTCTGGGTCGCTTTTTGCTACTGTAGTGACGTCGCATTTGCGAGGCTTTTGATCGCAATTGAGATCTTCGGGTCTGTCAGGGGTTGCATTTGTGATGCTTTGTCCGCATTTGCGGATGTCGTATTTGCGAACCCCATGTCGCAAATGCAACATCTGCAACTTGTTTATAACTAAGTATTTTGGGATTTAGTCTCATTTTATCATCTTTTGAGCCCTAGACTAGGTGGAAGGTGATTTTGTGGAGTGATTTTCATACCAAACTATTGGGTAAGTGATTTTTACAAATTTTCAATTATATTTCATGATTATTTATGATATTTATCAAATTCATGAGATTTGAGAAATTTTGGGGACTTTTTACTATGTTTTGAAAAAATAAAATTTGAGATTTGAGAGTCGAATTGGACTTGGTTTTGAAAACAAAACACATATATGAAATCGTGGGAGCTATGGGTAGTCGAGACCTACCCTTCAACTCGGGTTTTGACCGAGCGGTCCTGGGGTTGACTTTTGGGGAATTTGTATAAAGATCATACCTTTATTAATTGGGAATTGGCTTCACTTGCAGTGTTGATATTATTAAGTAGTTTTTGAATAGATTTGAGCCGAACAGAGGTGAATTTTAAAGAAAAAGCTATTTTGAGTATTGATTTGGCCTAATTGGGGTAAATATCTTATGAAATTATTTTATCAACTTATAAATACACTGGATATTCATACATTGAAATTTATCCAAATTTCTACTATTTGTCTTGAATTACAATTTTGTTATTTATGTACTTGAAGAAATAATTCAGGATAAAATTTGTATTTAAAATATTTAAAAATCTTTGTTATCCTTTTATTTTCTTCATGAAATAGTAGATAATATTATTATATAACCCCGATAAATATTGGTGCGACAATATGAAAAGAGATGAGTAATAATATAATTAGTAGGTTGAAAAGTTGCCTAATTTGATAGATATATATATGCATTGGAAAATATTTTGGCCGACCAAGAAACCTTGCTATGGTACACAATTTCATTTATATATTGTTCGCAACAATTATCACCGCTCGTGAGAATTTGAATCTGTTGGCAAAGTTGGATCAAATAGAAATTTAAGAATAATTTTTTTAAAAGATGTTGTTGATGGAGTTAAGGGCAGTAATTTTTTTTTTTTTTTAAAAAAAGACGGTGGGTTTTGGAGTTGAGTGTTTTCTAGGAATTGTATAAATTTATCAATAAATTTTTGAGTAATATTATTTAACTTATTTTTCCAACTAATTTAAATTATAAATATCCAAACATTATATTTATTTCCTCTTTTAATATATTTTTCTACAACTATATTTGATTAGTTTTTTCATTAAGTATCTTACTTATAACTTAAAAATACCCTAATTTATTATTAAATTATAATTTTTAATTCATTAAATTATAAAGAGAGGATTTTTTATTGTTTTGTTCAAAAGTCTAAAGAGAGAACCCTTTTATTTACATTCTTCAGTTTGTCTAAATTTATAAATAATACTTCTGTATATTATTTATTGACTTTATAATTGTATCTTGGTTATTTTTTTGGTGTTTAAAATTTCTTATGAATAATTATAAAATTTATCAAGTGGCTTTGTAGTATCTTGACACTTAGCTTAATCTTATGAATAATAATATTTATTCTTAAAATTATCTAGTGGCTTTTTATTATGCTGGCACTTGGCTTAATATAGTGTCTTTGCATCTCCTTTTACTATGTATAATATAATACATAGATACCTCCTTTAATGAAACATAGATAATATAAAATTCTTACTTCATCCAAAATATAGTATTATTTTATTATTTTGTATAATGTATCAATATTTTGATTATTTTTTTCTACATTATGGAATACGCAATTAGACTTTTCTTCTATTTTATTTTTAATATAAAGTTTTGATTTTTACATATTTTTATTATGTTGCTTGTAATTATTTCAAATTCAAATTCAAAAATAGTACTCCTAATTATTAATAACACGTAGTATATAATTTATTTATTTCAAATTTAATTTTAAAGAGACACTAATTATTATGTGTAATTAATTTTGTTCTAAAATTGCCCAGTAATTTTTTATTACGCTATCACTTGGCTTTACTATGGATATATATCAAACGTCTTTTAGCTAGCGTTTGGTTTGAAGATGAAAATATGTTTGGACATACGTTTTCAAAACATATTTTCCAACTTTATTTTGGAAAAATATGTATATAATTCCCAAGTTTTGGGATTTTGGTCCAAAATCAGCTCAATAGCTGATGGATTTGGGATTTGGCCAAAATATGGGCGAAATTTATGGTCAAACATGAGTTTTGAAAATAAATCCCAAATTTATTTTGGCAAAACTCATGGCCAAACGGGGCCTTAGTATTCGGTGGGCTTTGAATAGTTGGAGGGTATTATGGTAACGTCATACAAACCGTAGATGTAAGTGAATCCATACCAAACGTCCCTGCAGTGCAGGCAACACACGCTCATCTGTACACAACACAAGTCCGCCTTTTCCCCCCTTCTCTCTCTCTCTCTCTCTCTCTCTCTCTCTAGGGTTAGGGTTTCTTAACGGCGTTATATTTGAACCCTTGAGAGATCAAATAATGGTGCAGCAAATCCCCTTTTTGTGCGAAAAGCTCTTTAATTCAATCCTTCTTCACTCCTTCAGCTCAAATATGGCTTGATTCTGCTCTTCTCTCGGTAACTTTTTATTTTATATTTTGAATTCAGTTTTACGGTGTGCTTCAATTGGTGTTTGTATCTTCTTCTGTGGAAATTGTCTATTTTAAAACTTTCTGCATTTAAGAATATTAAGTTCCAAAATATATTTATTTGCTTATTGCTTTATTCTTAAGTTGCTTTACCATTAAGTCATTTTGAAATCTGGGTGTCGAACTTTGTGATTTTTTCACTTGTCCTTATTTGAACATTGGAGTGCTGCTGATATTTTGAACTGATTAATTTTCTACTCCATTTTTGTGCTTTTGTTAAGAAAGATGTGTTTTACCTTTCGTCTTATCAATTAGTCAAGGTCGTGGATAACTTGAATATTTTTGCAATTTGAATTGTGTGTGGCCATACTGGTGTACTGGAGATTGATAAGCAAATTGTGTTTAAATTTTGAAAAGAAAGAATGATATTCTCTCCTCCCTGCATTTTGTTTTATTTTGAAACTACACTGTCAGATTGGCACAATTTTTATGCATTCTATTTCTGGTGAAGGTGGCATTCCCGATACGGAAATGTATAATGTTCCTGAACAAGGACATGCAGATGCTTATATGGTAAAGTTTGGGGCTACTGATCACTAATGGACTTTCTTAAACATCTTTGCCTTTAACATGTCCGGTGACATTAATTGCTCATTTATTCTTGAATGTGGTGTTTTGTAATAATAGAAGATTGAATCCTTGTTTTAACAGATTCAAGGGAAGGAGCCAATGCAGATCACCAGTCCGCTGCTTCAAAACTTTGAAACTATGTACAATGAAGAACTGCCCGAGTTTGTTGTTGATCAGGGATTATATTATCCTACTACCACCAANGGAGGCAGCTTACAGTGGAGGATTCTCGCCTCGTCTATCTACACCTGCGTGGCATGAAACACAGCGTCCCCCGACAAAGGGACGTCAGTACAAAGAATGTACCGAGTATGTAAGGCATGAATGAATCATAACAATAAGATACTATCACTGAGAGGGATAAGAGTCAACCCATTATCCGACTTGCCGCTAAGGGCCATAGTCCTAACTACATCATTATCGTGATGTTAACTGCCTAGCTAATCAGTGGTAACTGCCCGACCGGCTGTAGCATAGTGGCAAATGCATGACGAAACTCATTTTCTTCAATTCGTTTACCCTTTAACCTTCACAACTTTACTTATAACTTGTTATAAATAGCATAAATACTTATAACCTCAAAAATAATCTTGTCCTTGAACTTTGTCAATTATCTTACGACAAATCCAACGTACAAAAGTACGGGATGTAACACACTAGTAGGCCTAATGAGGTTGTATATTCTACATCGGCTCGGCCTAATGCACACCTAGTGTTTGATAAAATGCTCAACTGATCTAGAACCATGATCATCTTCCTAATTTTAGTTCAATATTTTTTATTAAAATAGATTGAAGTTGCTAAGAATTCCGGAATATTTTAGAGTTTAAGGAAGCTCAATTGAGGTATGTTGGCTAAACTCCTTTCTTAGAATTAATTCCACGGTGTTCATGTAAGTAATGTAAGACCCGAGTTGATTATTGTGAAATTGGCTATTCCGAGTAAACGTGTATTGAAAGATATATGTTCA